TATATATATATATGCATACATATATGTATATATATATATATATACGTAGATAGTTCTTGATACAATACGCACACATGACGTCTCACACATGTACGTACGGTTTCCATTCGAGCAATGATGACATAATTGGAGTACCATGCTTCCCCTGCCGCCTACCAAGGCCATGCAGCTTCTCCGCTACCACCGTGCTGTAGGAACAGAGTGCGGCGCTTGCACTGGGTTTGAGACATTGACACTACATGAAACAAGGATCCGACACCTCGACTTGTGGGACCAGGGTAGCCAAAGAGGATAGGCAAGCTCAGAGACGTTGAATCCCAGAGGGTCTGTGGGCGTCTCGCAAAGTATTCAGGTTCTTTCTGGGCCATGGCTGTCGCACCATCGGCCTTGTGGCAGGTAGCAGACATCAGCACATAGCCTAAACCCCAGATCCTTCCTTGGCGACCACAAAAACCGAAGCCTTTTGAGTCGAGGAAGCAGGTCCAAAGCCAGTTAACACACGAAGAGTGCAAGCAGCAATGTCTTCAACCCGAAGAGGAGAACTCATGGCAAGCATTCTCGAGCTCCTGACTTCAAACCTCCGGACACCAGGCCTTCAAACCCTCAAGCTCATACACCAAGTCCGACCTTCAGCCGCAAGGTTTGTACCCCAAGTTCCCTGAGTCCAGAAGCACCGTATCCATTTACTGTAGGGGTCTGAATCACTACTGATAGTATTTGTGCTGCAAGCACATCGGGTCCACTAAACGACGACCCCCGAAGCGCTAAGACCCTGAACCTAAAACACCCCTAATTAGACGTCAAAGTTCACCTCGAAACCTTAAATCCGTACATCTACACACATGCACACCTGCATATACACCCATACACCCACACACATATGTATATATATATATATATATATATATCATCTATACATCTATACATCTATGCAGATGTATACACAGGCACGCACGCACCATGTCTTTGGAGTAGATGACCCGAGCAGCCTGCGATCATGGCGCCCCTGCCCTGAGCTACCGATGCATTCAGGCACCGGGGTTTGGCTTGGGGTTTACGGCCTTTAGGGTCTAGAAGGATCAGGGCATTGTGCGCAGCCAGCCCCTGCTCAAAAGGAATGGGGTTTAGGGTTTTGGATTTTTGGTCTAGTTTCGAGTGTTTGGGAGAGGGGATTTTGATCCCAAAGCAAAGGAGATGAGGTTTTGTTTCCGCGAGGGGCGCATGTAGGATTTCTGTCGAGTTGTTCGCAGGACTTATGTCGGGCTTCGGTGGTTGATGGAGAGTTTTAGGTCCGGGTTGGTTAAGTAAGCTTGCTTTGTTGGAGGACTTCGGGATCTGTTAGGTTGTATAAAGTTTGGGTTCTTGAATCCCTCACCCCTAGGCTCCGATACTATAAACCCTGAACCACCCAAAACAAAAAGCTATACCCCAACCCCGAGACCTGAATCTCTTAGAGAAAGCTGGAAGTCGGTTGGGCCCCTCCGCAAGCTGTTGTTGAAAGGCCTTCCTCTTCCGGCACCGCCTCCTCCACCTGCGCCTGTGCCTCTAGGCCTGTGGCTGTAGAGTTGTTACCATCAGCTATCTAGGCCCTCCGACTTTTATGGCTTGAGATGTTCTGAAGAGGGCTTCAAGGATTTGCGCGCGTTGACGGAAGTCTACGGCACGAGTTTACAGGGTGTCTGTCGTCAACAGTACGGAGGGACCTTGTGCCTGGTCGGTTTGCGGTTCTGCGGTCCTCCCAACAGCGAGCCAGAGAGTTCCAAACAACTGCTGGCGCAGGCAAAGCCGTGTTCTGTATCCGGGTCTTTGAGAAAATCCCTACAAGGTACTTATCTTGTTTCGTAGGTGGCTTCTATTCTGCTGGGGCACCTCACTTTGAAACCGATGCCGGTTTTGTTGGGGTTGACTGCAGCCATCCTTTAAGATCTATCGCTAAGCATGCATCGCCTAAGTTACACATAGTCTTAGGCAATGCATGTGGTACTCCACCGCCCATGTGATCAATTCGCTTAAAGATCCCCATGAGATCGAACTCCCGAGATGCTTTGGTTTTCGATAGGTTGCAGGGGTGCTAGAACCTAACAAAAACGAGGGTTTAGGGTTAAGTACACTCCCTATAGAATCCCAAAGTTCCCCTTTATACTGGGCTAGTAAGTGCTCCTAAACCTTAAACCCTAAACCCTAAATCCCTACACCCTAAACCCTTACCCTAAATCCCTACACCCTAAACCCTAAATCCTAAATCCTAAATCCCTACACCCTAAACCCTAAATCCCTACACCCTAAACCCTAAATCCCTACACCCTAAGCCCTAAACCCTAAACCCTAAATCCCTACACCCTAAACCCTAAATCCTATTCCATCATCTCAGCACCCAGAGCTCATGTCAGGAGCGCCCCCGCTAGCGGCCCTGCCTTTGCAGGTGGGCTTCCTCTCTTCATCGAACATTATGCAAACCTAAATGGGAGTTTCCGAAAATAGGGGGGGTACCTTATTTTGGGGTCCTCATAATAAGGACCCTATTATTAAGGGTGCTATATTAGGGTCTCCTATTTTCGGAAACCCCCAAATATCAAAATTTCAGTAAAGGATTCAGACATTGGGGTTTAGGGGTTCCAGGTGTACGGCTTTAGCCTAGTAGGGCCTGAGCTGTAACCCATGTGGGCTTTGACCTGAACACTAAACCCCCTTCTTTGGCTTTGAGACAGCTTTTTCGGGCCAGGTCTGTCGTGCTGAGGGGGCACAACGGGCGTGGGATGCTTTTGGCTTGCGAATGTCATGCACTGGGGCTTTATTCCAGAGGCCACTGGGAACTTCGCTTCTTGAGTGTATATGGCCTGGGTGACAAACAGTGTAGGGTATAGCCCTGCAGAGGCCTAGAGCTCTGTGTCTACAGCTTATTGGCTTTAACTCAATTTTCTACGGGTTTAGTGTGCGAAGACCCCGCGTCTCAGTTCTCTCCACAGAAGCCCTAAACCCGAAGATCCTGAACCACTTAAATCCGATACCCGGCACCCCCGAAACCCGGGACCCAACAAATCAAGTACAGGACCTTTGTAGATTCTGGATCTCTTAAATCTTATGGAACCCTGCAGGGAAGCGTTAAAGGACCCTAAATGATACTACCCCCAATCCTATCTCACGGATCCTGAATCGAGGTCGCGCCAGGCACACACTATGTGGCAACCACAGGAGTCCTCTTTCTAGTTAAAGAGGGGTCTAGGGCTTCAGATCGAAGCAGTATCAGTATTGGGTCTCAGTGCTTCGATATCTTCACTTGTGCCTTATCTGCTTCAGGCCTGCCAGTGAGGGACCGGTTTTCGGTCCTCGGATGTGCCAGCATAAACACTTCCTGCCCTGCTGGTTTCCGTTGGCAGCTCCCGTGCCTGTCGTGTTCTTGTTACGCCGGCCCCCGGGTTCCTGTTGCCACGGCCGTGGGTTTAGGTTACAGTGTGCGGGAGCGGTTTCCGTCACTCCCAAAGCCGGTCCCCGTTACTCCCCGCACCCTTTCAGCATCACCATGCATCACCGACCTGCTGGGTGTGGGGTGCTGGATGTGTTGTCATTTCGGGTCCACAGAATTCGAGGTCCCTTTCGAATCAAGATCCTGCTACGCAGGGTTTGTATTGGGGCATCAGTCAATTTCTGAAACTCCTCTTTTTCGGCTGACGGGCATCGCAAGCCCAGGGAGGAAGATGCTTGAGGCTTCCAAAACGAGCGAATGAAGCTGAAATCATTCGTCTGGTTAACGTAAGGTTTGGGGCTGGCCTTTAAAGCAAGAAGAGCTTTCAGTTATATAAGTAGGATCTACTACCGGTAAGTCGTCTTGGAGCGGAGCTTCTTCCCGGTTTCCAAGCCGAGCACCGGGCCCGCCGACCCTAAACCCTAAACCGCCTCAACTGCAAGGACAGCTCTTGCAACAGTGTCAGTCTCAGTGGCCAAGTTTGGGATCCTGCTTACTCCAGGAACCTTTACCTTGGAAGCCCTTATGTAGCTGGAGGAGGGACAAGGAGCTTGTATATAAGTGTTAGGTTGTGTAGTTATGCGATGTACATACCGCATCTTGTGCACTTGCATCTTGCACACAGCAACTGTGCGCAATGGTAGGTTTTGCTCCAGAATGTGATACTGTCTTTTGGCGATGTTGCTTAGTAGCTGCACAGTATCAGGTAGCCAGGTAGACTTTCTGGGATACATGTGAGGATGGCTACCGGCTGCCATAGTTAAGAAGTTAAACCCTAAACCATTACAGCTGCGAGTCCTGCACTCTGCAACTTTCCAATGTGTAGTCTATGCGGCGGTGTGACGGAAAGGTGTATGAGCCTGGGGCTTGCTTCAACCGTTGTCTCGGAGCTCAGTTTCCTTGCAGTGCGACTTGGTCAGCGAAGCGGGTTGAACCTTAAACCCTGAAACTGAAGCCTACACCCTAAGCCCATATTTCAACAGAGGAATCCGGGAGACTTGACGCAATCGATTGCCGAGGCCTCTTGCCGTTCAGCAGGTTCTGCTGCAACCAGCCATACCGGCACCGACTTTCGCCGGTTACTTCGTTGCAACGTGGGGTATCGTGTTTGTGTGCTGCAATGTATGAGGTTAAGACGGTGAAGGTTAAGCCTGTCGTACAAGGCCAGGCAGTCCGAGCACCATCACCAGTCTCCACAGAAATTAGGGCCTTGTGTAGGCTTCGAGTGAGGATGTACAGTAATAAGGGTTCGATACCTTTTGCAAAAGGCAGTGCATATGGGAGTTTCCGAAAATAGGGGACCCTAATATAGCACCCTAAATAATAGGATCCTTACTATAAGGACCCCAAAATAAGGTACCCCTAATTTCCGGAAACTCCCATATCAGGCTTTGGACTTCGGGCTTAGAGTCGAGGGCAAAGCTTCAACCCTTTCCAGCAGAAGCCCGAAATCTCAAGCCTTTTGGCCGCCCCGACCCTTTCCCAGAGCACCCCATAAAGACCCAAAGCCCGACAGTCTTAACCCCAAAAGAACGGAGACCATAAATTCCATGGAACTCTCATGGAGCGCTTCTAGAAACTTGATGGCGTCATAGAAATTCGTCAAGGGGCCTACAAAGCGTAAGAAGATGTCCCAATTTCCCTTCCGAGAACGTTTAGGGTTTAGGGTTCAGGGCCCTTGGGTTTAGGGTTGGGAACAAGTCCCTCACAAAACCCCTTTCTTTTCA